CCGTGATTTTGATATCACGTAGTTATATGAGCTAATGAATTTTTGATTTATTTAATTAATATAATTATATTTTTCATGTATAAACTGCTGATAAAGATAATTTTTTTTTAAATTTATTCACAAATACTAAGAATTAATTTATAAAACAAAATTTATGTAAAACTTTTCGATGACTGTGCATAATTCTCTCAACACTGAATATAATTAGTTAAACAAAAATTTTAAGAAGTAAGAAAATGTGGTTAGAAAACACAAATAACATAATAAAAAATCGTTATCCCAAAGATGTCCTCCCCATGCTCGAATACCATACTCAAATACAGCTACATACCATGGTATAAAGTTGAATTGAAAAGAACACATAAAGAAAAAACAAGTAGAGCTAGAATTAAAATACAAAAATTATATTGACTACTGTGAAATGTCTAAGCAACAAATTAATAATGTACAGGCAACTCTTAGCTTCGTTGTATAAGTATTGAATTCAGTTATGGGGATGTCGTTCATTCAAAATATCAAAATTAACGCCCTAAGAAATTTAGACAACGCTTCGTGGTTCATTAGGAATGCTGACCTTCATCAGGACTTGAAGATCGAATCTGTAGATTCTGTAGATACAAAAATTTGTAACAAAACATCTAGAACAGTAACAACAACACCCAAATGAAACAGCCCACCATATTGTCTAATACAACTGGCCTGCTAAGATGACTTAAACGAAGTAAGCATATCATATATACCCCCGAATTAGTAGTCTAATAATAATTTAGATTACTACTAAATTAGCACTAAACCTTTGGTAACTTGACATTTGTAAAAGTTATTGTAAAATATAACAAAACTGCTTGATAGTACTCTATCAATTGAAGTAGTTATAGTCAAACATGAAATGAAACACGTATTTATATTATTGTACGAAATGTGTATAATAAAAAAAAATTATGCTAAAGATTTAAAACAAAAGTGTTCACTTATTGTTTTACTAAATGTCTTACTAAAGTGTGCCTTTTCAACTGAACGCTGTTCCTTCTCTAACTTCTTCGTACATATAAGGTCTAATGTAAGAACAGTGTCTTATCCATTGTATTATAACAGGCTAGTTTCTGTACTTAAAACAACATAGTTGCTACCCCAATAAATCTCGTAAGGGATATTTACTTAACCACACTGAATTTGCTAAACAGCATACAATTCTATCTTTGGAAAATTTACATCAGAACTTAAGAACTAAAAAAATCGTTCAACGACTTTTCTGCTACTAATGATTGTAAGAAAGAACAACGGACCTTATTTTTATCATATGCAACTCCATGCTAAGAAATGGTTATTAGGAGTTAAAAATTAGAAAAAAAAAAGTTAAAAGTTTGAAAATTGTGGAAAATACGCACAAGAACATGCTTCACTCAAGAGCAATACGGATCTCCTGAATCTAATTATGTACATTTAAAATTATAGAAATAATTTTAGGGCTACGTGATTTTAGGTTCACTTAATTCCTACATAAAAAAATTAAATTGATATATAGAAAGTAGTTTTCTTATAGTACAGAAATAAAATGTTTTATTCTAATTATTAAACTAGTAACTATATACTCTTAAAGCAACAAATTACTGTCAAGATATAGATACAAATGGATTAGTGAAAAACATGGATAATAAAAAGTCAGTTACAAAAAATCTTTGTGTTCTTAAGAGTTCTCTCCTGTTGCTTGATTTCTCAAACACAGACAATTTCTCGAATAAAGTTTATAAAATGAAAATTGGAGAAGAGTTGTATCTAATATTGTTAATACTAAACAACCAGATGTTTAAATGAGATTTATATATCGTTTTCTACTATATGCTCCTTACAGCAGATACGATAGCACTAAAGATTATCATAGCTTAATTCTAGCATCCTTTAGCTTTTAGCTATAAGCAAATTATTATTATACTTTTGACTTGTGAACTTCAAGAAGAAATCAAAATTAGCGCTTATCTGCACTTAAGTTAATTTCTCTTTAGTTTTAGAAGTATAGTTTCAGAATTATTGTTTTTAACTAGTTTTGATTATTTATGTAAGTAAATGTATTTCTTTAGTTGTGTAAATATGAAAATATGTATTAAAAAACCTTTATATTAACATAAGATGTTTTTGGTTTCTAACGTCGTTTCTACTTGAATTAAATTTATGTTCAATATATGGACAAAATTGTTAATATATTTGCAACAAATGTGGTCGTTAATGAATTAAACGTCATAAATTCATTTTCGTTATTTCGTTATAATTTTATTATAAATTATTTTTAGGAAAAATTAGAAAATGAGACTGGTTTTGCTTTGCAAAATATAAATAATAAATATAAAAAAATGTTGCGATACCAGCCGTATTTTATACTTTTTTCCAAATTTCATTTTAATAAATAATAAATTGGAAAATATGTTTTTAAGCTAAAATATAAATATTCAATAATAACGTATACTAAAAAGAATACTTATTTAATGAACATATAAAATATGACTATTAAACGAAATTCACTGAAAGGTTATTGACACAGAAAAAATGAAAAAATGTAAAAAATTTTTTAGAAAATTAAGTGGTGTTCACCTAACGACTAAATTCAGCAATTCAAAGTTAAATATACAAAAGCATCGATCATTATGTATAAGCATCAAAACGGTCACTGAACGTGTCAAAATCAGATACAACAGACCAACAACAAAAGAAAAACTTCAAACTGGGCTCAAAGCAAAATATTTTAAAAATGTTCGAATGCACGTTTCTATCTTTCCATGAATAGATATAAATGCATTTACATATGTTGGGCAATATCATATCTATCTATCTATGCATAAAATGGATACATATATTTATGTATGTATATATATGCAATATATAGTAATAAAGTTTTTACACACGTGTGTAAATGAGTATAATTAATAAAAAAAAAATCTGTTTTCCCTTTACAAAAACTGTAATTAAAAACAGGCAGTTTTTTAAATAAACTTTTTATTTTTAAAAAAGAATTTATAAATTTGTTTTTGGATTAAAACGCAAATGGACTTGAAATATTTGAAGTTTATTTATGTTTATGTGATTATGGTTTTTATAAAATGAAAATAAATGCTTTTTAATAAATAATAAAAAATAAATGACTGACAAGTTCACAATTGTGTGAGATCATTACACTTTCCTGCATATATCAGTATGGTAATGAATAACTAATACTATATACATGTACCCTTTAATAATTATTACTGTGCATATATGCGGATTATATTTATTACCCCACACCACAATAAGCATTTATATTCATAATTATAGAGAAAAATAAACAAAATCACAAGTAAAATAATATAAACATACATGAACATGCAAAATCTGAAAAAATAAAGCAAATTCAATTCAAAAGAAAAACAAATTTATAAACTGTAGTACAAGAGTATCTAAACAAAGCAAGGTTAGATTTTGCAAGATCATGAAATACAGAAACTCGTCTACACCATCTACAACCAGTACATATGGTACTATATATCGATCATGCTCTTGTACTCATAGTCATAGTCGTACTTACTGTGTATCTAACTCAATTGTTGCTAGCGTGTTATTATACGCTTGAGGGTACTCTGGTTGCTTTTTTGTTAAATATAATTAAGCAAAATTAAAGTAAAAGAACCGCTCAAGTGTGCGGCACCACCATCAGCAATTGCTTAAAATGACAGTAAGCCAATGGAGTGTTCACAGCTGTTGACATTGCCCGAACAACTGTCAGGCTAAGATGTCAAGATCAATCTATTTTTTTTTTAGTTATTTTTTGTATTTCATTTTATAGAGTACATATGTCAATGGGTTGTATGATTTGTACAAGTTACTGTATTATGAAAAATTAATTATTTATTTACATCAATTTAAGTTTTTTAATATATTTTTTTTATTTTACGGCCGCACGAATCTGTTTTTTTTTTTAATTATTTTTTTGTTTGTTGATAGTTACTTTTTTATAAAAAATTAATTTATTTATTTACAGCAAATCAATATTAATCTTTTAATATTTCTTCTTTACAGCCGAATGAGTCTGGCTTTGTCCTACTTGGTGATGTCTCATTAGAAACATCCACAGATTGTGATTATGATGAATTCTCCATGGGACCACCGTCACCATGTGATGTGGAGTTTGAGAATGCCAACATCGTTATTGATGGAAAATCTAGTATTCGTAAGAAATCCAAAGAATCAATGGTATGTATAAACCGATATTTATGCTATGTATCACATATCTTGTATAATATATCATTAACTGAAAACTGTCAATTTGACAGTTAAACATGTGCCAGTAGCGCTCCAACAGTTATTAATTACTTTTTTTATTGTTGTTTCACCGCACTTCATGTGGCGAAAATATCTACCAAAACGTATTCAAAAACACCTACGTAAATAATTTCTACTTTATTATTTACATTTACTTTTTTGGATCAGATCAAGAAATTGAAATTGTAAAATTAGGAAATAATTTAGGAATTTTTACGGCCTTAAATAAATATTTTTTATTATATACAATTATAAAAAAATTAAGTTTTGTCATGTATTGAAAAAATAAAAAAAATATTTTTATTAGAAAGTTATAAGAGACCAAAGTATTCAGTACTACTGATTATAATTATTATTATTATCATCATTACCATCATTACCATTAGGCATACATATGGGTTTTGTTTTTATACCAACACGAAAACAGCTACCCTTATACGAAACTATATAAACCTATGGGTTACTCAATTGCATAGAGTATTTGGAATAACCTAAAGTGTTGAAAATAAATTAAAATTTATAGTAATACCGTATATGGGAAATGTAGGGATAATTATCTTCATACACACAAGAAAATAATATTAGTGTAATTAAATTTAAATAAATTTAAATTTTGAAAATATATTTCGTTCTGTAAAATGCGAACTGAATGAATTTTTTTTCATATATATGTAAATTGAGAAAAATACTTATGTCTTTAAAACATAATGGTATTTATTAATGTAAAATCTAAAGAAAATGAAAATTCTTAATTTGTAAGAATAACAATAACATACTGACATACTATAAAACTCAAAATTTATCGATAATTATATAATATATTTTTCAATGACAATTTAATAAGCCCAAAAGATCAATGCTATTTATCATCTTGATCTTTTTTTAATTAGAGGTCTTAATTATTGAATTTTTGTCGAATGTGACACGTCTAATGACGAAAAGAAACTAAAAGGGTTCGAACAGTAATGAAAAAGCAACAACAAAAATTTGATTAATTTATTGAAATTTGGCTGACCGTTCAACTCTATCAGTACTGAGTATTGAGTACTTGGTAATATGTACTCTAAACAGCGTTGTATGATGAATCAAATTTCAATAAATTAATCAAATTTTTGTTGTTGCTTCTTTATTACTGTTCGAACCCTTCTATAGACCTTAATGATTCGTATGATTCTGTTAATAAATAATTAATTTTGCTTTTAGACAGAGAGATTTTTTGTTACTAAATCTGCCTCTACACTGGCTTGACTTTTAGCAAGTTACAAAAGTTTTAGTTTTATATTGTTTTATATAACAAAATAAGTCTTAAAAATTTTTAATTATAATGCTTTTAAAGCCATTTTATTAGAATATATAAACAATATAAATATAATTTTGTTGATACTAAAAAATATGAAATGTTTTAAAAGTTATAATCCTCTATTATTTACAAGAGATGTTGACCAGAGGTATGATATCAATGTTAAATAGCCGTTTTATTATTTATCGTATAGAAATTTAAAATTGTAAAATGATAATATTCTATTTGTTTTATAAGTCCACCTCAGGACGCACATGAATATATGTTAATCTACGGTCCGTCATCAGTTAAAAAATAAATAAACGATAATGATTTTAGTATAGTTCAAGTTTAGTCTGGGGCAGGGATAAGCCCCCAGCCACAATAGAGTAAAAGTGCGCAATAGCACTAACTCAAATCACAACAACAACAACATAAACATGTGGCAGGAGATTCGATAAAATTATATTAAGCCTTCCAAAAATTTATTGTCAAATTAAAAAAAAATTGTTTATTTTTTTTTTGGAGTTCATAACATGTAGTGATATAATAACAATTTTAATAATATATAAATAATTGAATCTGTATTTTTTTATTTCAAAAATGCTTATAGAATTTATTTTAAAACATCGTTGTTTTGAATATTTATTCAATCATTTATCAACTGACATTGTATACATATGAGAACAGTCATTCCTTTATTATAATCATTCATATATGTCTACAATTTTTATTAATTTGACATATGCCAATTAATGACATCATATCAAAATAATTTTAATTCATACACAAAATGTTTTTCACATTTTTTTTATGAGATTACAATATTTTTATATTGTTTGATTAGATTATTTCTATGAGCTGAGACGATCGACTTTGACTACTAGGTTGTTTACCGTATTTTTGGTATTATAAATACCTACAATAATATTAATTGTTGAAACATATATTAAACGCAATTGTTTGAATGTTCGAAATCAAATATTCTATTTATATGCGACACTAAAAAATTCGTCATTATGAGATCTCACATTATTATCAATTTCCAAAAAAAAACTTTTGTAAATGTCCACTGCATAATTATTTTCTTTAGAAAACGGAAGTTGGTTTATTGGAAATTATAAGGAAATAATAAACTTTAATGCTTAATTTGAAAACATAAAAGTCGGGGATTTAATATTAAAATTTAGATTGAATGAATTTTTATTTAAAGTTTATCAAGCCAATGTTTCTCCACGTTCTCTGTATATTTGATATATTATTTTTTTATCTATATCAAAAGCTTTTAACCAATTAAAGTACCGGAGGTAGTGTTATGTAGTCAATATTTCTATAATTTTTCTGTGTATTAGATTTCCCATTTTTTTTATCTATATCAAGAGCTTTTGATCAGTTAAGGTATCAGAAGTAACGTTATACAACATCAAAATTTTCTATTATGCAATGAGCATATCTCTCGCCAACATAAGATGGCTATCGAAACTAAACGTGTCTCCTTAATTATTTATTATGTACAATTTTTAATATTATTTCAAAACATATATGGATGACATATAATATAATATTAACATCAAGCACAATAACAATCTATTGCCATTACGTATGCATATTCTGTTGTTATTGAGGTCTTATTGAAAGATATTATTGGGGGATGAGGATGACATACGAAGAAGAATTCTGTTTGTGAATTTGAAGCTCCATAACGTAATAAGGATGAATAAGAATCCATCCACAAAAAAAAAACAATATTGCTTTTGCTGTTTCTTATGTTATAAATTATATATTATATTTTGATCCAAATTTAATAAGAATAATTTAATAGATAGATAGAATTGACTCTATGCTCCACTTAGGAGAGAAGAACAGCAATAAGTAAGATGATAGATTTCATTTAATAGATAATATATTAAACTTATAATAAAAAAAATTATTAGGTTCATCGAAGAACCGGTATTAAACTAAACTTACTTCAGTAAATATAAAACAAATCAAATTATTTATTTTGACGTATTTCTTATGGAATCTAAACTGAGTATTAATTTCACGCCTTTGTTTACGACAGCACGTCTGCTATGTGCTTCAAATACAGAATTAAACTGAAAAAAGATCAGATATTTTTTATTTAAAATTCTACGCCACATCTCCATATTAAGTCAGCAAATGAAAATAAAATATTATGCGAGCGCAATTTCTGTAAAAAAAATGTAATTTTAATAATAAGTGACACAATTTCATTTATGACTTTTTTGTGTGACTTTATTGAGATTTACTGAAATATCAGAAAATAAATCCGAGCTTCCGTTCTGAAGACATATGTGCATGGGCGCGGATTTTAAGAGATTTTAGTACATTTATTTAGTACATTTTTTAGGTTTTTAAATTTTTTTATGTATATTCAATATTCGGTAATATTATTACAATATTATTAAATGTCGGAAAAGAAAATTTTCAATAATAGAAAATTTATTGTTGGCAATATCAATGATATTCAATTACATTTAGTTTTATAAGTTTTATTAGTAAGATATTATAGATGCAGCTAGGATCTTTACTGCATATTTTTTAATTTTATAATATAGAGAAAAAATAAAAAAAATATTAGTTACAAATAATACCTCACTTTCAAAAATAAATTTTTAAAACGATTTATTTGAAGTAATAAATAATAATAATATATTACTAAAAAAATTTGTATTCCTCCTTAAATAAATAAGTTTTTTGCATTTAAAGATTCGGATAGAGTTGAATAAAAGTTAAATATTTTTAATTATAAATTAAAAATAATGTGCCTCAATAATAATAACAATTAATTTACGTAAAATAGTTTTGAAAGTATTTTGTAAAGAGCATTTTTTACAATAATTGTCATTTGCACAACGATATAATATTTAGTGATATTTGTTAATAATATTTAATAAATATTATTTGAAATCGATAACTTTCATTGTATTTTACAATACAATATTTTAGTATACATCGCTTTTTTACAATTTATTCAAGTTACTATTACAATTTATTATTTTTTTAGCATAAAATTGTCAGTTTCTCTTTTAATGTGTCATTGCTTACGATTTTAGATAACCTCTACTAAATCGTATATTTTGTTTCAAGTTCTTTAAAATTATTTCATAAAAAGGTTTTTCGAACAGTAATGAACTACAACAACAAAAATTTTATTTTGTATATTATCTTATTTAATTGAATTTTTGGCTGACCATACAGCTGTTTCGAGTATTGCCAAATACCCATCATCAGTGGTCTTAGAAATAATTTTTGTATTTAATTATTCCTATTAAATAATTTGTTCTTTGTTAAATCATATTTTGAATATCTCTTTGAAAACATCATTTCGATTTATTACGATAATCATATAGTTTTGAAACATATAGTTTTATTATTGTTCTTTGATCTTCGTTTTTCATATAAATTTTATTCATATAACATACGGTTAATACAAAATTCAAATTATTATTTTATATATTATTTGAAAAGAGGTACTGCACTGCGACCTAAAAGACCTATTGTGCCCCTTAGTCGGATTAGAGTGTTTCTCCAAGTCCGATTTCTTTAATGAAAGACAATATACAGCCTGTCTTTCCTAGTCTTGAATACCTATAATCAATGCAATACCCGCTTGTACATCAGTGCCGAGAACTTCCCAGGCATATGGTATGCAATTTCTCGCTCTTCTCTCTTCTCTGCAGTCTGAGTTGAATGGATTTCCTAATTTCGTTAGATGATTATTCAATCTACAGTAACCGGTCAATAATCTTAGGTTATTTTTGAATTATTCTATGCAATGTTTAAAGCGTTTAAGGTTGTAACTCTTTAAATGCATTTTAGATTGTGATGGTCTTGGTATCCTTTCCCAATAGAGTAAAATTCAAATACAATCCTGAGACATTTATCATAATTAATATTACAAAAATTACATTTATTATAATATATATTACGTTACTCTCTCCTCAAGCATGCTATATGCTTAAATATTTCTTCCTAGTACTATTGACTCTAATAATCTACACTCTTTAGTAGTTTTACTTCCATATTTTCCTTTCGTTGGACTGACATTGTACGTATTTTATGTATCCAAACACAGCATAGCTCTCGAATATTTCTTTTATTATTTTTTATTATAATTTCCGTACAAGTATGGAAACCATACTTGGTCTGAAAACCGTTTCAACGAAATATGGCCATTATGTACATTGTTCCCAAAACAATCGAAAAACAATTGTTTACAATAACAAAAACCATACGAAATTGTGTTAATACAAGTGGCGACATCTTTGACGCACTTCATTTTTTATTTTCTATTTCCAAATCGCATTTAATTGGATTTATTTGTGTATTTTTCTGTATTGATAGCGAGATATTGTATATGTTTTCGAACATTTCTTTAAACATATATAGAGATATCTGTTTGTATGCATTATCATTAAAATTTTTGTTGTATATTTCAACTGTGTGATATTGTTCGTTGGCTTCAATATAAATTATTGTGTAATTTACTATTATTTTATACGCATTGATTATGTCTCGTTAGATTGCATCGATTAACTTTATAAATACTATTGAAAGCTTTGGTTTCGTATCCAAGATTCGAAACCTGCTTAGTCAGTGTTTATGTATAATTTTATTTCTTCTTTTCACATATAAATTGTCATAGTTAACACCTTTCAATTTCATTTCGATTTCAATTTTATTTCAATTTAATATGTGACGCAATACTTTCTTATGGTTGTTATACAAAACTATTTTTCATTATAAATTCCAACTGCATTCATTTTATATCGAACTTTTACTAATATTTCTAGTTGTATCTTGTTTGGTGTTCGGCCTGCAGTCGTTGTCATTAATGCGATATTTTGGCCTAATTTAAATTTTATAGCAACTTCATTTTTTGAATGCTTAAATATTTAATAGTTTGTTATTTTTTTTTGTGTTCTTCTTATACAATAATAAATTATTAAAAAATTTTTAATCGTACACTTTTGTTGCCAATAAATAAATTGCAATTTAATACTCAGAAAATTGTAACATTAGCATTTAAATCAATGTCAATGTGTCTATTTAGTTATTAATATTTTAATTATAGTAAGTCTATTTTTATTATATATTTTTTTTTTCATTTATTTCTATTTGGGTCGGATTTGTTTAATAGCAATGATAACAACAAAACACTATAAATGTGAATTGCATTAATTTGTAGAGTTTTTTTCTAAAATATTTAAAAATAAAATCATATTTTTAAAAGTATTTAAACTGAATTAAATTCGTCGCTCTATCTCTGGAACATAGGAAAAATCCTAAACATCATTTACTAAAGTTTCATACCAGACTTTGTCTGGTACTAAGTACACTTACTCTTCTGTGGATATACACTTATTGCAAATAGTTATATTTGAAATCTTTAACTGACTTTAAAAATTTTAATTTGCACATCCTAAATTTTGAGAGAGACTAAAGTCGCATCCAAATCCTCCTGTTCGACATTTATCTTCTGCAACTGCACTAAATCGACTTAAAAGAAAATCATTGATAAATATTAATACCCTAGCTCAATAGCATACATATTAGTTTTTAAGGATACGCAAATTTTTGTCAATTTCTATTAAGAAAGATTCAATAAATAAACCAATGGAAAAAAAATTTCCCACATAAAATCATATATTATATAGGTCAACATCGTTGTTGTTTAGAATTTGTTGTTGTTTTATGCATAGTAAATACTTTATTAGGACTCCAACTCTTAATTCAATCTAGAAATCTTAAAAATTCTAGTAAAAAAACAGTGATTTTATATATATGAACTATAAGCTCACCACAATACGATATGACATAGTAACCTAATAGTTACAATGATTTACAAAGAATTCAACAACAAATCACAAATATTACAACCGGCTTACTACCCAACTGAATCCTGAGAGAAACCCTGAGAAAAAAAATTTATTATGTGAATACCTTATTACTCTACACTAGGTAGTCTTACTCATAGTGTTAATATATATTTTATTTAAAATAAATGGAGTTAAAGAACTTAAATAGCTCTTAAATTATATAGCTAGAACCGTAAGTTCCTAAAAAAAACCCCTTCATAAACATTTTCAACTGCAACATGTTCTTAACCAGATCTGATGTATAACTTTATTTGACTTAAAGTCGAGCAAATATGTCAAACTATAAGTTTGACTCGTTCCGCCTACAATTAGATAACAACTAAACAACTGATTGGTCTACATAGTTGCTGTTTTTTTTTAATTCTGGCAAGAAATTCTGGTTGTGGATTAAAGAAGACAAAAAAGATAAGTCATATAGTGTCTAACCGATATCTTGATAATTATATTAAAAATATTCGATTACCTTATTTATTAAAGTAACATAATGCTATTCTCTCCAATAAAAATATTTACTAAAATTCAGTGATTAGAATTCTTGATTTTTTAATTGTAAGATAATATACAAATATATACTCCTAGTTTGTAGAACTCAAATGACGGTATGAGGTTTAGGAAAAACGAATATTAAAAGTATAAATTTCTCAATAATTTGCAAAGTTAATCATTGAAGTAACTCTTCAATAAAGAAAGTTAGAAAAAACAGTTAACTGAAACAATAAACTGATGTATGATCTATACTTTCTAACCATCAACTTGTTATTGGAGCCTTGTAATATTTTTTTACTATTTTTTTTTAGTAAAGTCTTTGTACCACCTTTCTAGTTGTTAACTGATGCTATATAGTAAATTGTATTTAATGAAAGCTTTAACTTGTTTCAAGAAGTCATATATAACATATCTACATATATGGTAATATTATGATATATATTTGGTAATTATTTAGTATTTATCGTAGAAGTGTTCAACAACGTAACTATGGGTAAAATATTGAACTTAAATTTCTTCGTAAATAAACTAGATGAGAAATAAAGTTTGAGTGTAGCTCCAAGATATTAAAATTGTTTATTATTGTTTAACTTTTCTACGATAAAAGTGAGGAAAAATAATAAACGAATGAGAACTCATATTAGTATGAAACTGTTTGATATATAACATTCATACTCTTGCGCTTAAACGTATATTTTGTACAACAATAATGAAAACAATAGCAATAAGAGCAGGAAAAGTGATGATTTATTTTACTTTTCAATGAATTTGATATCTTCTGCTATAAAACATTTTCTATATTAAAATATCTTACAAATTTAGATTTTATTATTTAAGATCACTATTTATATTATTATAAATTTTAAATATATTTTTTATATTTTCAGCATCATGTACAATTCAATGATACACTTACCTCCACATTTGAATACCCCTCTGAGGCATCGTTAATTCTAGATGATTCGTATAATGATCAATGCACTGATGATGACTTAATAAATCCTTATGATAATCTATCATTAGATCTATCATTAGACGATGTTACCGACTCCCCCGCGTATCGTCATCATCATGTTGCGGTCGATGAAATCATACCATTGCCAACACAACATGTTGCACCTACCAATGCAGCAGTAAATACATCAAACACGCCAACTAAAAATATACTGGGTAATTTGCCACTAGGTAAGTTCTTCTTTAACTAATATTAATTAATTATAAATATAAATTATTTTAAGCTGTTTTTACTTAGTTAGATTGTTTGTTTGTTTGTTCGTTCGTTTGTTTGTTTGTTTGTTTTAAAGTTTTCATTCAATTCAAATTGTTCATTGTGTTAACTTGATTGTTTATTTGTGTTGATTTGTTTAAATGTTCGTAGTTCTTTCATAAAGCAAAAAAAAACTAAAAATAAAACATTTTATTTGCTGTTTCAATGTTTTTCTTATTACTTACTTGCTTCACAATTTTCTACTTTAATCTGTCTATCTCTGCAATTCATTACTTAAATTTTTTTCAATTTATTTATAATTTTTTCTGCACTTTTAACAAAAAAACATTAAATTTTATAATTGGCAATACGAAATTAATAAATTAAGAAGAAAAAAAAACTATACAATAATCAAAAAAAAAATAATATCAAAATCAGGCAAAATATCAAAAATTGGCAAATAATTCTTTACAGTTCAATATAGCAAGACAACAACAAATCAATGTTAAAGAATTTCCATTGAACTCTTAGTGGAAGAATTGCTTAAATGGTAAAAACTACTCTTTTTCAGGTAATACGAGTAGTTCTGATGATGAAATACGAACTCATGATTGCTTCGGTGAACTTAAGCAATATAAATTTAATAAGAATAACAAAGTTTTTAAATTTTTAACAACACCATTTCGAAAATTTAATAAAATTTGCAGGTTTGTTCCTAAATTGTGTTTGTTAGTCTGAGACCCAATCCTTTATTTAAAAAAAAAACACTGAATCTAGAAATTGGCTCATTTTTCAAAAGTAAAATGTATATACAAATCATTTCTGCTAGTCTAGGATATAAAATAGAAGTTCAGTTCTTCATCCAACAAAATTGTTGATGTATCAAACATGTTGCATAAACTAAATACAATTAAACATTGAACATTAAAGAAAACGATGTTATGTTATCTTAATAAAAAACTATATTTTATGAGACATACTAAGACACGGCATGACCACTGGATATTTGCTCCCTCTTTATGTACAACCTCTTTATGTATGATATAATAAAATATATGTAACATGATGTTCTATAATTAATAAAATATTTGAAAATTAAAAGTTTTGAATTGTAATTACTCTTCTTAGCCGGGAAAAAAAATATTCTTGTGTATTATAGTTAAATATGTAATATATAACTAGTTTCAGTATACAGTACTTAGTATATATAGTTATAGTATATAACTGTAACTAAAATCCCGATTACACAAATATATTATTATTTTTAACTTAAAATAAGGCATAAAAAATAACCATTAAAAATGTCCATTTTAGATAAAAAAAAACATCCTTTATATTTTAAAATATAAAATATATTAAAATTAATTTAATATTTAATAATTTTGCGCCACTTTTAAATTCTCGTTCTAAAATTCTAATATAATCGTTTGTAACACAAACAGGAATAAAGCTTAGGTAATTCGTAATTTATCCATATATACTCTTCTAGGAGCTTTTGCGAAAAGTCTTAACAAAATTACGATTATTAATTAATGTTTAAGAGCGTAGATCCTATATAGTGAGAAAAAAATTGGTATCAAAATTAATATATCATATAATTACATCCATCTATCATGCCTTGTTTTACTATTCTGCAAATCTAATGTATGCAATTAATTACTATTTTTTATTTTAAATAATACATACAACGTGTTTGATGCAACACAAATACATTGTAAAAGCAAAAAAATCGTTTTCTTATATACCATATATATAAATTATAAAATGAATTGGTAATATATAAATTCGTTCATACAAATTAAATTAAGCCACTTCAAACACGATCATCATACACGTCCGCACCAACTCCGAGTTTTTGAAATTTTTATTGCTCAAATGCGATTGTAAAAATGTATAATATTGTGGGCATTTGTCAATTTTTGAAAATAAAAAAATTTTTACAGATTACCCAAATCTAGCAATGGGTACAATGTTACAACTGCCACAACAAGAACAACAGCAAAGCGAACAACAGGAACAACAAGTCGAGTTAGAAGAGAACCGACAACAGTTCAAACAACTACAACAAGTTGAAAAACCTGCACAGCAACCACAACGTCCTACAAATCTGCCATTACCTTTTCTATTGCCGAACACAACTCTACCTAGAGGCACTGAAATGCTAACAGATTCTGCCAATACGATTTTAAGTCCTACATCTAAATATCAGTCACAAGTAGATATTCCAACAGAAGTTCCTAAAACTAAACAAATTAAACTAGAAACAGAAGAGTCCGTGTTACAACGAGACAACACTACAACGAATATAAATTTTAAAACTAAGCCTACAACAATAATGGGACCAACAAATTTCGAACGTTTAGTACCCAACTATAAGCCACCGATATTACACGATTTTAAACTGGCAAGTTCACATAAAGCGCCATTAAAAATTTTGCCAATTGGTAACAATTCTACAAATATTTTCGAAACAACAACAAATACCGAAATTAAAACAAATCGTAAAACTCCTACCGTTTTAAGTAAACCCAAATACGCATGTTTCTTAAAAAATGACTTAGAAGAATCAAAATCTTCTTTCGTCACACGTACACGTAGCAATGAATTTTGTAATAACTCCAGTGGCAACAGCATAAATACTACAACATCTGCTACATTTACTACACCTAATAAATTAGTACGAAATATCGGTACTACAAATATGGTAAAACAGAGATGTGCCTCATTCTCTTTCGGTAATCAAACCAGTTGCCAAGATACAAATACAAAGAGTTTAAAAATCTATAAATTACCGTCTATTGACTCTGCTATAACTATTTCTACTAATACAAATACTACTATTTCTACTACTATTAGCACTACTTCTACTGCCACTAATGCAACTCTTTCTTCAGCAACTTGCACAAGCAACTCAGCTTTTAATTCGAATAATTCTAATTATTCTACTACTTCTACTGCACCTCTAACCATGTCAAATGCATCTTGTACTCTACTGCGTTCGCGAATTCCCGGAAATACCCTGTATTTTGTTTAAATATATAAATGTAATTATATGTTTCACCTTGTGATATGTTAAGTGAATAATTATATTGATATATATATATGTGTACATAATTATTACACGTAAAAGCTTGATTCGTATGTAGTTAGAAATAATTTAATTGTAATATTAAATAACAAGGTTAAGGGTATTATAGACTTTTAGAGCTTGTGGTTAAGTAGTATTGGTTTTGTTATTATTTTCATATCGATAAAATGGTATACTAACATTTTACTAACTCAGTAGTTTTTATTCCTCTCCTTAGAACCCTAAATACTGTTTTCAATGAAAATGAAAAAAAAATATTTTGTTGAACAATATTAAATATTCATAATTTTTGTTTAAAAAAAATCTATTATATGTAATGATTCATATAATCCGAAATATTCTACTACAATCAATTAAAAATTCGTTATCTTGTGAACAGATATATAAAAAATAAAATATATTATTATTAAAAGCTATTGTAGTATTCCTGAAAAAGTCTCCGAGTATTACCTGAACGATATTTATGCTCTATATAATCTTTCAAAATATTTTCTTTCAAATTTGCAAAGCTGTTACGCTTTAATAAAGGTACTCGTTTCTTGACGTTTCAGAGCGCAAGCAGATAAAGTAGATGAGAATACATCACTCTAAATTTAACACATTCTTCTTATTTTATTTGAAGAATCTACTATGCTGATCTTGCTATCAGTGATGTATGTGTAATGCTAATTAATATTTAACGATTAAGATCAATGAATTGATAGAATTGATTGATCTAAACAATTTTGATTCAATTCGACAGACCGTGTTCAATTAGTTAGAAAATAAATACAATATCAGTGATTCGATGATATTCCAAGCCCTATCCTGTACTTTTGCAACGACTTCTGATGTTTATATAGTTTTTGGACATCCTTTATGTGGATAGCTTAATAATAACTCTGCCCACTTCCGAATTATTTTCTCGTAGGACATTTATACCATTGTCAGTGAACAACTCAATGCAGTCGGTAGTAATTAAAATAATAATTGGTATGTAACAATAGAAATATTGAATCTATATGCTCATCTCTATTACTGAAATAGACTAAAAAATATCTATTTTAATAAGCATATAGTATACGCAGTAATGCCTAGGTTGGGTTAGGTTAGAGTGAAGATCTTGTACATCAAAGTCCACTTAAACTCAAGTAATAAGTCATTAGAATACCACATACAGTAATGATTTACTAATAAATAAATTATAAACAACTTTATAATAATATTGTTTAATTGTAGCGTTTTATTATTTATTACTGCAATTTTTTTTGCAGTCTTACCATAATACAAAATGATACAAATAATCCGTAAAATATGTTTCAAGGTTTATGCGGATAATAGACATTAGAGATTACAATGAAAATTGTGTTTGTACATTGAGGTGTCCAGATTAACGCTATGAGCAAACTAATGCGCAGCCTCATTATCCATAACAAGTATATAAGACTTATATCGATGATAACATAGGGTTGTATTGAAGTTTTCAATTGAAAACGGATCGAAGACGTTTTGAGAACAAGAAGACATACCTATAGGCCAATGTATTTAAATGTATAAAGGTTTTCGAAAAAATTAACCAAATGTCATCGAAGAAATGGGTATGCGCCCATGGTCCCGCACAATCGATTGAAAATACTATGGTGTTATCATAGCTAGTAAATAAATATTTATCATAATTTCATTTCTTTTTCTTTTTGGTTTTGAAAATGTAGAATTTTTTCTTAAAGGACCCACAAATTTGTAGGTAAAATTTTATTTAAAGATAAAACAAAATTTCCGGACAAATTTTATTAAATTTAAAAATATTTGTCAACAGATTTTTTACTTTCTTCTTCTAATTTTATAGGATTACAATTGTAGAAATACTTTTAGCCAATTTTCTCGAAACTGTCTTAAGTCAAATCAACAAAGTTGATGATTTCAGTATGACTTCAGTCATTATAAATACTTAAGTCACTACTGTAAAATTGGACCTTAGAATTTCAACAATTACCTGTGCTAACATCCCACCTAACGTTTCAGAGTATATTTTTAAATAAAAATAGAGTGCACATATAAACAAGAAAAATTTTAAGAAACCTACTGAAATAAAATATGTTGCTGTGAGTACTAATATTAAACATAAGTAAACATAAAAAATAGAAATTAATTTGCAACTTAACCGCTTGATGTAGGCGTTTTCCTCCAGGCTGTCTTTATGAAGACATGTTTTCCAACTGAGTAATTAAGTTAGGTGGAACAAAAATAAAGTTATACCTTTTATTTATAAATCGATATAACCAAATTGAATATCTGCTTTCAAAAATAGTGATATATCACTTTTTTATTATATGTCAATGGCAACTTGAACTTATCACATATAATAATTGCTTTTAATTGCTCCATTAAAATTGCTGATAATAGAAATTTTTCAACTGTTAAAGGATAATTCTTAATTAATATGAAATAACGAATGTTTCATTGATATAAAATTATTGTATAAGCATTGTAATTGTTATAATATATTACATTTTGAATTAACTTTAATGTAATATAATTTTATAAGTAATTTTTCATTAGATTTTCGTTACCTCATTAGCTTTGAAATAAAAACATTGCCTCATGTAGACTTCCCTACTTCTTGTTACTATCTATTGCATTTGTATTGTGTCTAATACTATATACAAAACATATTATATGTTGTATTTTGAAACTTGCATTGAAAATCCTTCCCCGAGGATGAATTAAAAAAAAACATTTGTTGTTGTTTTGCATATTCGACTGTAAAAGAAAAGCTGTAAAAAATTTAATTAAATTAATTTTATTTTAAGTCTTTGGTATAATTGTGATATAAGGAAATTTAAGTAACAAAAAAATAAAAATATTATATAAAATAATATAATTCCGTAATTATCCATCCACATTAAAAATCTATAATTTATTTAAATTTCCTTTATATTTGTAAATTAAATTTCATTTCCTTGCCAAAATTACTTTTAATGAATTTCTTTGTTTTATACATTTTTCAGATGTAATTTAATAATAATAAAAAAATAAATAAATTATACCTAATTGAAAAATTATTCATAAAGAACCAATACTTTTTCGTGTGTGTATGTGTGCCTAAATTTTTAAACATTTTCTAATCAAAATAAAAAAAAAATAAAAACATTTTTTAAATAAAAAATCAAATCTTTGAAATGCCAAAAAAGTTAAAATGCAAAAAAAAATATTTTTATAAATAAAAATAAAAAAAAATTCTTAACAATGTTGAACAACTGACAACAATAACTGATCAGCAACAATTAAACAATAATCGCTAAAACAACAACAACAACTTTTGTAAAATGTAGTGCTGTAGTGTAACGCCCATCTATAATGCTAAATACAAGTTATAGTTAAAAGTAACCGCTTTTTTATAATCACTTACACACACATATATACATAATAGCATATATAATTAAATTATATATATAAAAAAAATACTTTAATAAAATCCACGTAAAAACCTTAATATTTCCTCATTTCTCATATCGAATAGACCAAATATCAAACAAAAATAAAAATCAAAAATTCAATTAAAATCAAACTCAAAAATCAACTAAACTGAAAATAATTCGTAAACGTAGCAAAAATGATGTTTGTTTGAGGTAACTAACTTATTTTAAACTTTTTATTTAACAATTTAATATTTTACCTTTACAAAATACATTTTCATTTCCAATTTTCTAGCTACTCGCTCACTTACTCATCCACACCAACCCATCCAGCTACCGACCTCACTAACCTTTGCTACTCAATATTTTTACCCAAATGTTTTGGCTAGAACACAGTTTTTATGAAATTGCTTACATATATTTTATACATTAAATTAATTAGTTGCGAAATATATAAAAGTAAATATTATTAATTGGAATAGTGGCCAGTTCATATTTATTTAACAGTATTTATTTATGTTATTTAAAGCTTGTGTTAAATTAAATAAAAAATAAAAAACTAACTAATAGGTTTTTATTTAGCTTCACACATGCTTTTAATGATATAAAGAAATATTATTAATATTAATAAAATATTAAACTTTAAAAATTTGTTTATCGACCTGTATTCTATAATGATTTTATTGTTTATTTATTAGCTGGCTGGCTATAGGTCACTTTAATTTCAATAAAATTAAAAATCTTTTATTCCTGTTTAGTATAAAATTCAATATTTCGACTCTCTTTGGGAAGCATCATCAAAAGTGTGGTCATCATCAGACCATGCTCCTGATGATGACTCTCAAAGAGAGTCGAAATATAGAATTTTTTAATAAAACAGCAATAAAGGATTTTTAATTTTAATAAAATAATTATTATTAACAAGACAAAGTGCTTTTTATTAAAATCTACTATTTATTGGCTTTAAAAAGAATTAATTTTTAAGCAAATTTTTGTAAATGATAAATTTTTATTAAAATTCGTTAATTTAATAACGCAATTAAATATTTAATTTTTTTATTACACATAATTTAGACATAATAACATATATAAACAAATTGAAATGTTATTAGAAATAATCACAAACTTCAGTGTTGGAAAAGTTTCAGTAGGCGATCGATCAAGTGATCGTCGATTATTGTTGCTTTTAATATAAGTTAAATATATGAAAGCAGTGATTGACAAATATTTAATCTACTTTAAAAGGAATAATAGAGTATCGGAAAAGTTTCAGTAAAAACTTTACAATATAACGTGAATAATATATATAAATCTAAAACCGTATAACACATAATGTTACCCCAAAATTGTACGCTGTTTAAAACGCGAAATGCTAGAAGAACCATGCTAGATGATTAAATCTCCCTTTTCATCATACCTGCCACAATTGTGGAGAGGACAATGAAAGTGCGTCCCATCTATTCCCCATCTTTGTTTCCATCCAGGATCTTGGCGAATTGACCTTCAAGACCTTCTCTTGAATAGCATTATAAACTATGCGAAAGGTTCTAAATGACACAATGAATCGGTAGGCCTAAGTAGATCTCTTGGGATCACCGATATAACCTAACCTAAAACGCAGAGGCATAATAAACCTAAAACGCAGAGAGAATAAAAATTTTCATTTACTCTGGGGAGTTGAAAAATAATTTCAATCCTAGGACTAAGGAGCAATATATGCGACTCTAATATATTTCTGTCTGCTACTGCTACCAAATTGTTTACTAATTATACTTAAAATGACATTTATTTTGTTATACCTGCCAGCGCTTCTCGTGTGTTCAAAGCTTAAATCTAATGAGAAACACTATTTCGTAAGTTAAAAAAGGCGCATTCCACATTCTCATATTATATTAAATACTTATAATATAAGTAATGCGTTTACATGAGGCGTGAACTACAATGTAAGACTAAATTTCATTACTTTCATTACTATCGTCCCAATCATTTTCAATGTGAGGTATTGGTTTAACTGTTCGATTCTACTGCCTTTTATATTACTACTGTTTATATTTTATAAGTTTATTGTCTAGTTTTATAATTGCGATGTATTGTAATTTGTAATCTGTAAAAAAAGGTATGCTGTATGAAAAGCATACCTTTGTGGTTGTATAAATCAATCTATCCTTTTTTTGGTCTTTATTCTACCATCTCTTTCCTGAATAAATTTTTATATTTCTTCGGTTGCGTTTCTCTTTTTTTTAACCGTACTCTTTGTGAACTATAACATATACATTCTAATTCACTTTTATGAGCAACTACCATCGGATATTTTGAAATGTCAGTACACAACATACCCTTACTATAATTTCTTAGCTTCAATCTTAGTGAGCGCCCTTAAACCTCGCGAACATTAAGAACAACTTAAATATCCAAGTACTACTAGTTGTCTGTTGAAATTTATCTCTAACTTGTTGAAACGATTTATCGAACATAAATTTTTCTAAAAAATTGATCCATTCCAATCTATATGGAAAAAAGGCTGCGTCCCATTCCAATCTATACGAAGAAAAGGTTAATCCATAAAGGTAATAATTTATAATAAATTTTTACTTTATGTAATGTGCTTAATATTTTTGGTTATAGTTAATATATTCAATTTGATATTGACATTAGTTCAAAAAGAATTTCCAGCACTACAACTCATTTAAGTTGTGTACGATGATAATGGAAAAATGCTATACCTATTTCAAAAATCACTAATAACAAGGAGTTTAATAGCGCATAAAACCATGGATAAGGAATCACTTTTACACATTTAGAGAATGTATAGACATAAGAGTCATATATAGAAACATTGTTTAAATATTAAAATAATAGAACCAACCGGTTCTACAAAAAATTTATATGTTTACATACAGAGGATATAAAAGATCTACACTTGAATTTAAAATTTAATCACTCAAATCTAAATTAATGCTATGAAATCTGAAACTTTTCCGACACTGTACAATATTTATTCACAACCACTTCACATGTTCCACGTGTTCAAAATATAAAATTATTATATATATATTTTTTTTTAATGAAACATGTTAACTTACATATGTTCTCTTTTTTAAATTCTTCATTTGATACAGGCTCGGCGCCACTTGGTTTATACACTCCCATCAAAGCACCTATTGATAATACGTTTCAATTAGGCATAACACGTGCACCAAATGGCATTGGACCCGTTCATAGCGCAACCCCTACAACTACAAATGGAAACAATGTATATAATGGCAATGGTAACCAACTTGGCAGTGTCATCGGCATAAAAGGCGGCATAAACGGTGATAATGAGGACTTTAATAATGAAGAGCCCGATGACAGCCTTAAATTTTTGAAGCCAGCAAATGATGATCTCACAATCGCCTATAGCGAGGGTACACAAAAAACTGATTTGCTCTATTAATGCTTAATTTACATTATCTGTTGTAAGAAGGAAAAAAATACACTGAAAGAAAATAGAGTTCAAAATATTATCGGCACTGGTTCTGAAGAAATACATTCAAAATTATAATAGTTATTTTGGTAAAAAAATAAATTTTTTGTAAAATGTTTAGTAATAAAATTTGTTTATCCATATATGCATTGTATGTTTTATATTATATAATATATATGGAACGGTAATCGGTGTAGCTGATCGGTTAAAAACATAGGCGTTTAAGCGAATTTTAACGGCTAACATTTTAAACGATTAGAAACCTGATAAACGGTATGAATATGGTCATGAAAACTTTTAAAACAATTTATATATCTTTATACTTAAATTATATTCCAATTGTATTGTGTGAAATTACAAATTTAAACATTTATAAACTTGAAAGTATTGTGAAAATTAGATGAAAAGATAAAAAATTATTTCATTATTACGAGTACGTTAAATTATTTTATTTGTACTGTAAGCTTAGTTATATTATTCTACATATATATATATATATATAAGTATAAGAAAATTAAAATTGATTTAATTTTATTTTTCAAAATTAAATTTTTAATTTTTTAATATTTTCTGTGTTAATTAAGTATACATATAAACATTATATTAATTACTTTAATAAAACAAATTGAATGTAAACGTAAAGTGAAATGAATGCCAGAAAGTATATGCAAAAATTAAATATAAGTTTTAAATTTTGCAATATTCGAAACAGCATTTAAAACAATTATTTCAAAATAATTAACATAATTTATATAAGTTGTATGAAATAAGTTTTGTATATAATTAAAATTACCAATTTTATTATTTCTGTTTTCTAATTTATACATATTTGTCATTTCTTTTTGATATATTTTTATTTGTTTGTATTTTTTTTATTAGTATATTTTGTTTAGTTCTTTAAATTTAATTTTATGTATTACCTATTGAATTAATAAATTTTTCATGTTGTATTTATTTTTTATATCAAATATAAGAAAATAATTTTTTTTGTTAAATTTAAAATGAATAATGAATTTTTGTAGCAAAATGGCTGCGAAAAAAATTAAATATGAAATATCTTAATTTAAAATTAAGACAAAATATTGTTTTTAATAATTTTATTTACATATTGTCATATTATTATATATATATACTATCTCTCTATATTTACATTACTTTATTATATATACACATACGCGTACATTTAATTTAATTATACAATAAAAGTAATAAAAAAAATTAATTACTTTTTGTATTATGGAACCATAGTTTGTTTTAAACGACACGAGATGATACCGAGATACCGATTGTAATCAGAGCCACGGAGGGTTAGGCTTTTTATGGCTTAAGAGAGCTAAAACCGTAAAAAGTAGACCAGTTGTAATGCCACAAAATATTTTATGATATGTTAATTAACATTAACGATAATTGTGGTTAATTGATTTATTCATTCTATGCCAGATAACCAATTTATTGCTTTAATAAAGCTGAAATAAATATTTTAAACATCCATTAAAGAGAATAATTGTCGAGTACTTGGCATTTAAAGAATATGATTATATATAAAGAATATGTGTTACTTTTCTGAGCTACAACTACAACAGTAGTTATTAAAAAAAGCTTCGAATAAAGCTCCACTTTTCTTAGGATAATGCCCTATTATCCTAAGATCATGATAATGTATGATATATATTGTAGTGTATTCTGTTGTTGTAACCGGAGATTAAAGATTTAAGTTAAAGCAGATAACTTAAAGGGAATTACAAATAAATATTCATGAATTGAGAGGAGAAAATATTGTTTAGGAACAAGAATGGATTGTCGTGACTTGTGTTTTGTATAGTATTTTGTAGATGCAATTGTCAAGAATATCAGTATAAGCAATACTCATTTTAGCTGTACTGATAAATGTACCATCGTTTTGTTTAAAAATTTACATTATAGGACAAGTTTAAATATTTAACAGGAAAGTAGCATAGTAAGTAATGATTGTTTGATTATCACTGAAGATACAGATATTCCTGCCAAATACAATTCATTGCAGTGAAGCCCATAAAATTGTCAAATTAATAGCATGAACTTCTGCTAAAATGTTAATTATCAGCTAATTATATCAATAGGTTGAGGTTGGGACCAGCAGAAAAAAGCGCATGTTCTTTCTTCAACAGAAATACATTATACAAAACCAATGTTGTCTGTTAATACTTTTGACAATGCAATGCGGACAATTTTTGGGTATTTCAGTTTTATTTTTCTAAATATCAACAAATTAAAATTTATTAAAACACATTTTCATTTATTTTAGAAAACATCGTGTTTATTCGTTCAAGCAAAAAGATGAATAAATAAACAATAATTATCTATTATAAGTAGACGAACTAATTCTTGATGCTGCCCTCTTTCACTAACTCCCACTATCATGATAGCCTACGTGTGATGACTATTTTCCAACACTAGCAGAACTTACGGTGTCACATGACAGACTACAAGTACAACTTTAGTTATGTTTAACATTCAAATACTTTGTTCATATTTTTTGAGAATTCAAATTTTCTATTTAAATGTTTTCACTTTTTCGTTTGTTATGAAAAAAATTTAAAAACAAAGCTGTCAAATTCATCAAATGCAGCGTTGCCACTTAGTTATATGTACATTAATTGCTTAATGTTATGCGAAATATGACAGCCATTTTTATATAAATTTAATGGTTTTCTCACAGAATGAATGATTATGTTTTACTCTTTGTTATTTTATCTAGAAAAATATCGTGGTAAAAGCTCATATTGTGAACTCCAATCAAATCTACATGAATTTTTATATTTTGTCTAACATATTTTTCCAAATATGGCAAGCTATCAAAGTGGATAATGAATTAATACAAGACATGGCTTTAAAATTAAATATCGCTAGCCATAACAATCTTACATGATTAGCCATAAGCGATGTTTATTGTTGAATGGTTGTTGTTAAATGTCAGATTTAGAATATGTCACAGTACATTGAAAAATACGATAAAACTATGAATTGGAATACAAAAGACGTTATAAAGTTAATAAAACTTTATAAACAATACGAATGTCTGTGGAACATTAAGAGCAAAAATTATAAATACTTGGATAACAAAAAATATGCATGGTTACAAATTTCTAGAGAATGCAATAGAAATGTCACTGATGTGAAACGCAAAGTTAAATATATAAGAACAGCATATCTGGTAGAGAAAAAGAAAGTCGATGCTTCAAAAAAGACATCCTCAGTACGTGGAATTTACACACCCCATTTATTTTATTTTGATGACCTGAACTTTTTAGATTCGGTGATTGTACAGCGAAAAGCTTACGATACGAGTTTCATTAAAGATATTGAAGTACCTGATCAAAATGAAGAAAGTGTACAAATGATGGAATATATTAAATGCGACGAATATTTGGATGGTAATAGTACTGATATATTTCAAGAATCGTTTTGTGATGAAAGTAATGTGATGAAGAATGAAACCCAAAATTCTATAGCAATATCTACACACAATAATGATCCCTGCTTAAAAAATGTAATTCCGACACCTAAGCGTAAGCATGTACCTGTTGCAGATATTAGTGAGGGATATTTAGAACCAGAAGAGGCGCGCCATGAAACATCATGTATTGAGTTAGCTTTAAAGGATACGGAAAAATCTGATTTACATTTTTTTCAAAGTTTATTACCTTATATGAGTAAATTTACAGATTTGGAAAAACTGGAGATAAAAGGTGATGTTTTAAAAATTATTGGAGAAAAACTAAAATACAAAGAACAACAACAAAAGCTTAATATTCGTTCTTAATAATGTATAGTTTTTTTAATGTTAACGTAGTACGTACTAAATAATTTATAATTTAATAAAATTGTAAATAATTAAAAAATGTACCGTTTTTTTGTTATTAAGTGAAATAAGCATAGTTCATTATTGCTTTCCTGCATCGAACCTCTTTTATTTTTCAGTATTAAATAATTAATTTAATAGTAACTATCGTTATATGTCTCGATTATGAAAATACTTATATTAAAATCACTTTATATTCCCACTACAGCACTGATAATCTGATTTTATAGGCTAGTAGAATTATTAGTCTATCGGAGCAGTAGAACTTCCAATTAGGTCGTACTCGGATAACCAAAACGATATATATTTTTGCAAATAAATTATTAATTTTGAAAATTTATATATTTTATTGAAAAAATTTTTAATTTATGTATATCAGTTTAATTAAATCTTAAAAATTTATAAATATTAATAAATTCATTTAATAATTTTCATATTCAACATTTAACATATTATTCAACGCTCCTCAAAACATTATAACAATTATAACCAATGCGTTTTGATTTAAACTTTAATAATTACCTTATATTTAAATTTAATTTTAAATATCAAATATCAATTTAACGCGTTTAAAAATTTTTTATATCTAAAATGTTAACAATTGCTTATTTAACTTTATTTTTATGATACATAAATTTATTTTCTTTCATATTTAGCATTAGTTGAAAAAAGTTTCATAAACATCAAAAAATTTAAAAATTTTTTTTTGATAATTCAGCCTAAATTGAAAAAAAAATAAATTTTTTCTTTTTATTATTAAAAGCTGAAATTGCTTTTCCGCCAAACTAACTTTTATTTATCTTAGTTAATTTTAAATAATTATTTTATTTAAATTAATTAAATTTTAAAGCCATGCATTTTTTTTCTTTTTCATTTACCAGAGGACATAAAAAATTATACAAATGATTAAGATTATTTAATATAAATAGGTTCATATATTCTACAGTAAAAATTCTTTAACATGCAAACTAACAAATAGTAAATTCTTTAATGTTTATAATATTAAATTGTTTATAGATAAATATTGCACTAAAGATAAAATCGGTTTTTATATAGAGGATACTTAGAAATCAGTAACAAGTTATTATATTAATTATTTTGCTAAAATTATTCAAGCAGAGATAAAAAGACTAATTAGTAACAATCCATCATAATCTCAGTTGTCATGACTTAAAACAGTAATATTCAGCAACAATGGTATAGAGTATAAGACAGACAGACAGGTTAGAAGACGCTACTCATGCACCCGCATTTTGTATAATTTTCAAGAAGTCTTAATCCACATAATCTGTTATAATTAATTCACGTTTAGTATAAGCTGAGGTAGTCGATATGTTTCCGCCACTACTATTATTACCATTGCCTAATAATATTGCACCACCAGGTACTGACTTAATATGCGTTGAGTTTGTAGAAGCCCCAAATAAATTGTTATATATATTACTTGTGTTATTAAGATTGTTGTTAGTTATATTATTTCCCTGTTCATTTTTTAATTTATTTAATTCGTTTTGCAATTGTTGATTGCTTCTACGTAGTTCTTCATTTTCCGTAAGGCACTCCCGCAAGCTAATATTAAGAAGAAAAAATTAATAAACATTAAATTTTTTTTATATTTCAAAAACAATAAACAAACCTTATTACTTCTTCTTGCAAAACCTTAATATATTCACAAGCCTTTATAAGTATTTGAGATTTAGAGTCACTTGGTGGGGAACGACCGTTTGTCGTTGTATTATTGGAGTTACTAATATTACTCATTTTATTCGCTGCAAGTTGTTCTTTATCTACTTTTACTAAAGAACATTCATCACTGCTATGTATATCCAAAGTTGACAATGTTTTTGATTTACTTCCTGAAATATTTCTTGGTATTTCTGTAGGCAACATTTCTTTAAGCCTAAATATCCAATTATTAATTTTATCACGCCTGCGCCGTTCAACTTCATTGTGTGTTGCACGGCGTTTGTCATCACGCTATACACAAAACAGAATATATTAAAAAATAAAAATTTGATTTAAGACAACTGTTTTACCAGTTACCTTCTTATAAGTTTCTAACAAAATATGTTTACGTTTAGTATCCAAATCAGCGGTGGCGCTAACTGCAACCGTACCAGCAGTTGCCTTAGTGCCTGTTAAAGTACTAACTGCGTTAGTTAAATTGTTGACATTTAAATTAGATTTCGTTTCAAAGCAATTGTTGGAATTTAGTGAAACATTTATTTTATTGTTCACGTTACTGGTAATTTTGTTTGCTTCGTCATGTTCTGGTGAATTAGATTCGACATATTCTTTAACTAAATAAATTTCACAACCACTGGGAAGTTGTACTGCTGTAGCCAAACCAGTTTGTGGACTCTTGTTGGTTACTGCTGTACTGCTATTAAGTAAATTTCTTGATGTTTCATTTATCACACGATAAGGAAGTGGTAGAGTTTCTAATGACATATCTTTTTCTTGTTTAATTTGTGCCAAATCTGTCTCTGTTATTGTATAATATTTCTGTGAGCTATTAGAATTTTCATCGCAAATGGTAAAATACACATCGCCACTCATTGCATCGTTATTTTCGATATTGTTGGAAGTTAGAAACATACTATATATTATATAAATAGAATAAATGAAACTTGATAAAATGTGAATACCATATGTCATATTTACTTTTGTTCATCACATTTTGTTGCAATTAAATCAGCACTGCAATTAGGACCAGCTACTGTTTCCAGGCGTTGCCTTTTCCTGTTGTTCATGATGGAGTTATTTTACAACTTCATCGCCTTTGATAATCACTAAATCTGTGTTGATAGCAACCCTAAATATATAATTATATTATTAGTATTTCTTTTTACTTGTATGTGGCAAGGATAAGGAAAACGATATAAAGCAATATTCAGCTATTTTTTCACATTATCAATAACAATAACATGATTTTATGTGCAAAATTCAATCACCTTCGTTTTCGTATTTGTTATGAAAACATTCAGAAAACAAAGATGTCAAATATGTCAATTGCAACAGTGCCACCTAATTCGTTGTTGTTTGCTTGCGTACTGTGTGGCAAGATTATACGAGTCATGTGATTGTGTTAATATATTAATAAGATGCTGAATTTTATACCCTACACGCTTTTGAATATTGGTGTATATTGGAACTTACTTAATTTGTACTTTAGAATACGAATTACGATATATAGACATATTTATACACATATTTATTTTATTAAGAAAGTGCTGGTTCTTATTTCCAACAAGTTTTCTAGCATTACCAACAACTGAACAGATTTAGTAACAATTTTAATATATCTAAATGGAGGATCTTATCCGACAACAATATTACACCATAATTTTATATATAATTATATTACTGAATATATTACACTAACAATTATTTATAAACATTTATTTTGTTATTATATTCAAAATTATAATAAAACATACATACTAAATGGTTTTATAAAAATTTGGAACTGCTATTTCAATAACTGAATATCTATGCCTTGTAGATATATGAATGGAATAGATTTATTAAAGTTATTTATACACTTAATTAATTAGATAAATAGAATCAGATTAATTTAATAGAGCAATTGTTTAAAATCATGATATACAATATTAATATATTTTATTATTTTCATTAAGCATGCTGAGCTTATGACAAATAATACAACTCAATGGCAATTCTCTTTTCTAAAGAAATTGAAATCCGAAAGGGCTCATTATAAAGGGCATTTGCATTTTGCTTATTTTATTTTCGTGTTCAAAAATATTTGCTTGAAAATAGTCAAGCAAATTTAAATCCTGAAATCACTACAAACTTTTCTACGACGATATGAGCGTTTCGTAACTGATGGTTTGTTGTCCAAAGTAAGCGCCGGAGTTGCTTTTGATATTGACTCATTTGTCTCAATTCTGCCTTTTCTCTAAAATATATAAAGAAATAATGACAGAACGAAAGCCTTCTAGAATATTTGTGTATATCAAAAAGTACTTAATCTGAAATTGTTTGCGCATACATCTACCAAAGAAGTATTCTTTGTTGTACTTTTTCCATTTCTTAAGTACAAATTCACAATAGTGAATATTTTAATATTTGTATGTAGTTTACACTGGCCGAAAATGACTTATTTTAAATGAGCCATTTGAAAGTGTTTACAATCGCTGGTTTTTCAACTTATCTGTTGATTTGATTTCTTGCCTGTGCCAAAAAAATGTTTGATGAAAGTTAAATATACCTTTTAACTTTACAATATAAACTGAAAACTTATGTTCAGCTTCGATTATTTATTTGTGGGAAGTAGAAGTTTCAAAATGAGGTGCATCGTTTTCAAGAAAATGCAACAACTAAATATTTGTTTTCATTTTTTTGTTAATATGTCAAAAATAGTTTTCTTAGGGTGTGTTCACTGTATTCATTTGCATTTGGAACATATTTGGAACTTATTCTAACCTCGTTGGAACTCATTTATACAGAATGAGAATATATATAAAAAGAACAATATAAAAAATTATAAAAAAATATGCTAAAAAAAAGTTTCTGCGACTATTAAAAAATAGTTATAATAAGATTGTTGTAATAATAAGAGTCGAGTTTTTTGTGCTTAATTGTTTTTGTTAGAAATATTTACAACTGTCATCAAAATTATACGTCGTTGTTGATTTTTCAACACTAGAAAGTGTTCAGCAGCAAATGTGAATTCAAAAGCCAGTTGTTTAATGAATTTGTTTTTTGTTTATTATAACTTAATATATTGAAACATGAAAACGTGATTAATATGGAACCGCTAGAATTCAATAAAAAAACAGGAAGTAGTATAAATTTAAAAGACTTTTTACAAAATAGCAAACAACGGCTGGAACGCATACTACATAGATCTAAAATTAAAACTGAATTAAAAGTAAATGTGAATATTATCTTTTAAATTTATAATAAATATGTATTTTTAGAATTTAACATCAAAGAAATTAGAAGATAATGCAGCCAATTTAAATAAAAATGATCCACCGCTACCTGAAAGTTTCATGAGCAATCAATATACCGTCAAATTAGGTTGGTGTTTCAACAAATTTTTTGTTTATTAATATAGTGTAAACTGCTTTCCAGATCAAAATGAATTGCAGAAATTATTATCTAATAAAACCATTAAAATACCGGAAAGGTTTTCAGATTTGCAAGTAAATTTTAACTGTGAACAAAAATTGAAAATCTATGAATACGTTTTGCAGCGAACAGGAAAATTTTCGGAGCCAGAATTGAAAATACCGTGAGTAAATAGAAACTATCTACTGTTTGTTTGTTGATAAAAAATATTTTTTTTTTAGTTTTTCCAATGAAGGTAATAAGACCTTTGCTGAAATAGTTGCTGCTGAAAATCGTGAAAGAAAACAAAAACAACGGAGGCATCGTAAATCTAAACCGACACACATTGAAGAAGTACGTAGTTTAGTAGAATTACAAATGTTAGCAATGGAGCAATATATGAAAAAAGAAAAGCATAAAATTCATAGAAATGAGAAAAGTAGAAAGGATATTAAACGCACAGAAACATACAGCAGTAGATCAAATAGAAGTCGTAGTATTGAACGTCGAAGTCCTTATCATCATAGCAATCATTACAAACACGAAAGAAGTAAACACAAAACGCGTAGTCGAAGTCGTGATCGTTATTACAAAAGTAGTAGCAATAAGCGACAAGAATCAAAACACCGTGACAAAACTGATTCAGACAGCAGAAGAAGGTATAGTTCTGAACATTATAAACACAAAAGAAGTAAAAGTCCTGACATACATAAAAAAAGAAAGAAACACAAACGTAGTAGAAGTTCAAGTTATGATGGAAGCCACACACATAAAAAAAAGCACAAGCATTATGAATAAAATAGAAACTCGCCAATAAAACACTAAATGCTTTCATTAAAATTATATTTTAATATTTCGCTATATTATATTGGTAGCTTTAACTTTCTAGTTCACAATTTTCCAAATCAATAGTTTTTTAAAAGATATATTTCGCTACAGCAGTATTTCTTTTTTAAATCAAGTAGTTACTTAGTAGATACGCGTGTACGTTTATTCCATGAAAAGTTGACACCATAATTTTTAACGCGTTCTTTCTTTGGCTTATCCTCTTCACCTATAAACCAGCGCCAACCATTTTTTTCGCAATGTGCTATTGCTTCCTCTTTTGTGCCGAACTCAATTTGCATATTCGATAAGGGATCGCCGCTGTAAATAGAAAATTTTATTATTAAATTGAACGAAAAGTTATTACCATTCTACACTTACGTAGATGTCCAGCCCATTAGTGGATTTTCCCAACGCTCACGATTATCAAATTCAATTTTCCAGTAATTCAGGTTGTTGGTACCGCTTTGCATAGCATTTTTGGCTGGTACATGTATGCAGACACGGCGCGTCTTAACATGTTCTTCAGGCACACCTGTAATGGGACTAATATCCACCTTCTCTGGTACGGTTATAGTACTACTCAATTTTTTCTTTTCTTCGATTTCTTCAGGTTTAGCTAAAGCTGCGTCAACGTCAATGTACGGAGCATCGCGAGAACCCAATGACATAGTGCGCACCCTTTAATTAATTATGGTTAATTAGAGGTGTTTATATTTTTTGCTTACATACCATTGCACATTCTGTGTCGCCCGTCGTAATGCTTGACGTATTAAAGACATATTAAACGCTAAAATTTGGCCAATAAAAAACCAAATTATTACATAAAATTTGGAATCCTGTTGTCAATTTTGTTTTGACATATATCTTTACGACAGGGTTCCCAGGAAGCAAAAAAACTGCTATAAGTACTTTGCACTCATTCCTACCAAAAAATTTTTTTTAATTACAATTGTTATATATATGTGTAGATAACTTTTAGATATGTGACAAGATTGCTAAGTTAAAAATAAACTTTATTTAAATGTTTGTAACATTGATATTCAAGAATTAATACTATGTTTACATTGTATGATTATTGTGACTAATTGTTTACTAGAATCTACATCATTTACAACATATGTGTATGAACCAAATTTTGTTGCTGTTGCATATGTATATGTCATAATTTTTGTATGAGAAATGTTGCATATAGCTTTTTATAGTAAATCCGTACAAGAACATAAAAAAGATGTTCTATATTTTGTATTGAGGAAGTACACTCTGAAAAAAGTATTGCCGTCACTAGTATATTCATATTTTCACTTTTCCACCCATTCCGCTGACGGTTTTCAATTGTTCAAAAGCTGAAATCCCATTCTAGTATAATTAAGGTTTATTGCATTAAAAATAATACACAATTAATGGCTCATGCTACGCCTGAGTAATTTTTAAGTATTAATTTTGCTGTATTAATTTCTTACGCTTCCTACACTTAAGATTGAAGTGTCTGGGGATTAAAAATTCATATATATATAAAGGCATATACAACGCGTTTAGAAAAGCAAAAGAAACATTCTGAGAGGTAATTTAACATTTAAACATCAAACAAAGCATGAGTAAAAATTAAATCCACTAAATGCAGTAAATAGTCAATTTTTTTTTACTTAACTAAAACTGTTATAAAAATTAATATTTATTCTCCATTTTACTCAACTGTGGAATGGACCAACACGTAGAACAGTATTTTAAAGTACTACTGCAAGTGCAGTCTCAAAAAATTATATACGAATAATTGAATATAAAAAATAAGTCTAAAACTGATGATGGTGGGTATTTGGTAATAATCGAAACAGCTTTATGATCAGCCAAAAATTCAATTAAATAAAATAATATAAAAAGAATTTTTGTAGTTTTAATTCACAATTTTACGAAACCTCTCCACTACATAAAAAATTGTACTATTAAACAGCAACTCTGCTAAAGTTTCTATTAAATTTTTTTATGGGCAACCCAATTTGTTGCGTGAAGCTTATGTATTTTTACGTTTTATGTCATTTTTTGTTTATAACTTCGGGCTCCGTTATATAGGTCATATAAAATAAAGTACATAAATTTTTAATTTTATGTAAAATAAACTTACATTACCAAAAATTACCTATTCAATTTAATGAAAACACAAAAGCTATTATAAGCAAAAACAAGAGAAGGAACCGGCGAAGTCAGCAATTCCCTAAACTGACTATAATTATTAGAAAATAAGGTTTGTAAGTCAAAAAACTCAAAATTTTATGTTTGTGTAATATTGTTCATTAATTTTTATCTAAGATAATAAATCTATTCAATATGGATGATGCAGTTGCTGTTGTGCTTGATAATGGTGCCTATACTGCTAAAGTTGGGTTAGCTACGCAAGATGAACCATTTCTAATACCTAATTGCACAATGAAAGCAAAAGCCGAACGTAGGCGAATATTTGTTGGCAACCAAATCGATGAGTGTCGCGATGCCTCTAGTCTTTTTTATCAGCTTCCATTTCAAAAAGGTTATCTGATGGATTGGGAAATAGAAAGAATTGTGTGGGATCATATATTTAGTGCAGATGGCACTGGTATATTGCTTGAAGATCGCCCTATTATTATAACCGAACCTATGCTGAATTTTCCTCAAATCCAAGAAGCAATGGTAGAAATATTATTTGAGGATTATCATTGTTCAGGTGTGCACAAGACTACCACAGCCGAATTAGCAGCTTATAACTATGCAGCTGAAAGCGAGGAAACGCCAATTAACTCATTAAATTGTATTGTTGTAGATGTTGGTTATAGTTTTACTCATGTTGTTCCTTTCGTGAAAGGGAAGATTGTCATGAAGGGCGTACGACGCATGGACATAGGTGGTAAATCACTAACAAACCATATGAAGGAATTAATATCTTATCGGCAGTTAAATATGATGGATGAAACTTATGTTGTCAATCAGATTAAAGAGGATGTTTGTTTTGTTTCTCAAAATTTTGACATGGACATGAAAGCATCTAAACAAAAGATTGGTTTAGTTGAATATGTATTGCCAGATTTTACAACTGTTAAACGTGGATATATACGAGGTGGTGAAGCAAAAAAAGGAGAGAATGGTAATGAAATAGATGAAGATGATAAACAAATATTAAAATTGTGTAACGAACGTTTTACCGTACCGGAGTTACTTTTTACACCGATTGATGTAGGCATTAAGCAAGTAGGGATACCTGAAACTATAATTGACTCGCTCAACTCGTGTCCTGAGGTGATGCATTGTGAAATGTTAGAAAATATTATAGTAATTGGTGGTAGTTCCAACTTTAAAAATTTTGTGCCAAGACTAAAAAAGGATCTCCGTGCTTTAGCTACCGATGATTTAGAAGTTTCATTGATTTTTCCAGACGATTCGACGTCTTATGGTTGGTACGGTGGCAAAGAACTTGCAAATAGCGGAGATTTAAATATGTATTTGCTGACACGGGAAGAATACGAAGAAACTGGTTACACACCAAATCGTAAAAGGAAAGATAATTAATGGCAAGGTAGGAACAAAACGTGTGATCTCTGTCGACTTTGAATTTATTCTCAGCTAATATTTATAACTTATACATAAATGTAATTTTAACACTTCGCTAACACAAATTTAAGCAAATATTATATATTGTTAACTATATAAGTTGTTATTTTGAGTATTTCATTTGAACTGAAGATAGTCTTAAATAATACATGTTCTGTGAAAACAACGAAATTTTGAAATTATTTTATTGCGTGTTTAGTGGGTGCCAAATTTTGTGCCAATATATATATATATATGTATATATATATTAAACGTTTTTAAAAACTAAATGATTCACCGCAACCGCAAGTTCCTTTAATATTCGGGTTATTAAAAACAAATTCGCTGGAGAGCTTATTTTCTACAAAATCCATTTCAGTACCTAAAAATGATAAACAGGATTATCAATTGTTTATTTAGGTATAATCAAACAATTTTCCATACATACCAAGCAATGACAGCTGTGCTTTTTTGTCTATAAAAACCTTAACACCGTCTTGTATTACTTCTTCATCAAACTTGTCTAAATTGAAATGTTAATAAAATATTATATTGCGAATTATTGTTGAAGTATTTTACCTTTTTCTTTAGCATAATCTAATGTGTATGAAAGTCCATTGCAACCACGTTGCCTTACTCCAACTTTTAACCCTGTCTGTATATAATAATTTATTAATTTATGTAGACGCTATAAAAATTGTATGCACTTACGAACTCTGGTTTTTGTGTTAACAATTCTTTAATGCGTTTTACTGCTGCTGCCGTCTAAAAATAGTTAAATGATAAATATTACCAATTATTTCATCACGTAACGTATTGAATTTACCAGAATAAGTGCTGCCCTTGTTGGTATAAGTTTACGTCCTTTCAGCGCGCGAACTGTAGCTGTTGCAACTACTTTTGTTGACATTTTCTATTTGTTATGATTTTTATCAATTTTTATTACTTAACTAAACTTACTTTAATTTTTACACAACAAAATATTCACTTACACACTTTTGTTTTATTATTTTCTTCGTAGAAGTCAGCTGATATGTTATGTGAAAGCGATGTAGCGATCAGCTGTTACTGTTGCCAACTAATATTTCATTTATTGCTTGAAAAGTACCCAGCAGCAAAAAGGTGCGGCGTTTAAAGTACTAGTAATTTTGAATAATCTCTGAAGTGCAGAAATAGCTATGTAAGTTAAATTAATACATTTTTAATATGACATTTAAAAATTTTTAATATTATATAGTAAAATCATAGAATTTTAAATTATTTATATGTTACTTAGATTAACATATAAATCAATGAAATTGATTTTCAAGCAAACTAAAGTTGACTTATATATAATATTTTTATGTACAAAGAGAATTACACATTTTATGCAATTTTTCAATTTTATATCTTCTGTTTTGAGAAAACAATGCTGCACATTCATTCCGTCTATGTCAAGAGTTATTTCATGCCATTTGTCATAGTTATTTACAGTGCTCTTTGTAAAACTCAGAAAGAAATAACTTTCTGTTAATTACATAGTGATAACAAATAATACAAGTGTTAATAAAGAACAAATATTAGGGGTATTCAGGCAACTGATTAGTTGCTTAGTTGATTCAAAAACTTCATATAAAAAAAATTTAGCATTTTGATGTTAATCAGTTGCTTGAACGACCCAAAATGCGTAATCTGATTAGTTTGTTGTGTGTAAATGTCTTGGCAGCACTCGCATCAACAGCAAAAGTGAAACATACTTGTGTTTGCAAAATTGTTTACACAGAATTCAAACAGCTGAGAGAGACAGCTAACAAATTTCTATACTAAAGTTCATTTTAAGTTATTATTACGACACTTGGTACTGGTAGCACTATTAATCAAATTTGTACTAATCTGAGAATCACCGAAATAGTTGATAAATAAAATGTAGAACACTAGTAGTAAATTATAGTAACAGATATAAATTGATAAAATTTATAACTCACTATAAAGGAGTTTTAGGTATCGCTAAATACCCATCACCAATTGCTTTTGAAATTATTTGTTGTTTTTATTAATCCATATAAAATTATCGAGATTGTAACAAAAATAAAAAATGTGAACAAAAAATATTTATTTACATATTGCTTCGTTTGTTGTTTAAGCAAGCAAAATTTAATATCGATATATTATCATATATTTTGATAATTATTTATAACATTACTGAGTAAAAATAATATAAATTATTTAACAATTGTTAAAAATATGTTGACATATACGAATATCTCAAAAAAATGTGGCAATCAATATTTTTATAATTTATATATATCAACTTATTTTGTATGATATCTAATAAATTCAATTCAATTCTTAGCTTAAAATTTTTGTAAAATTGGCTGTTTTTGTTTATTTTTTGGTTAGTATTGCTGCATAAATATAATACATAAAAATAATATAATATACGATGATATCAAATGTAATTTAAAAACTTGATTTTAATTGTGCAAATTGGGTTGTGATGTGTATACATAATATATGTATGTAAAAA